CTCGCTCCTGGATTCTCTGCTGGATGTTTAGTCGTCTCACCTCGAGCTCCTTCTGCTTCTCAGTCCTTTCTGCTGCAGCTGGGACTGTTTCATGGCCTTTATGTTCATCAATTGTGCAGAGATAACAGATACTCTGCTGATCAGTACGACAGAAAATCTTCATCACCTCATCATGACGAGAGCAGATGTTGTCCTGGAGCTTCTTGGAGGGGGCCACCAGCTTGTGTTTCTTTAATGGAGCTGCATCATAGTGAAGTTGGAGGTGTTTCTCACAGTAAGAGGCCGGACAAGATAAACAGGACTTGATAGCTTTCAGCTTCCTCCCAGTGCAGACATCACAGGCCACATCTTCAAGTCCAGCATAGCAGTGATCAGCTGGAGCAGCTTGGAGTCCAGTCTTCTTCAGCTGTTCCACTAAATCTGCTAACATGGTGTTTTTCTCCAGGTCAGGCCTCAGTGTGAAAGTCTTCCTGCACTGAGGGCAGCTGTGGATTCCTTTACTGTCCTCTTTATTAAAGTGGCCTTCAATACAGTTCCTGCAGTAGCTGTGTCCACAGGTTGTAGTCACTGGATCCTTCAGTAGATCCAAACAGATTGAACAAAAGAATGTCTCTAAATTCAGCTGAACTTCTTTCTGCTCCATTTCTCCTCTTAGCACCTTTGAGTGTCTCAAACAAAGAATTGCTGTCAGACTCTGTTTAATATAGACTGCAGATAAAAAGGTGCAGTTTGGACTTTGGCAGCAATTATAACATGTAATTTATCAGGTTACTATCAGTTTAAACTTCGTTGTGTCCTCTGTTGTAGTTTCTGTAAAAGTCGGCACTGTCTGCAATTAAGATAACAACTGAATCTAATGGCAGCTCAAATTACAGCAACATCCACAAATAGACTTTCATCTTAATTACAGACTCCAGATACAGCAACATATTTCCTCAAAGTAAAACCGATGAAACTTTAGCAATACCTGTGATGAAGCGTGAAAACTTCTGACCTAACACCTGGTATCAACACCAACCAACTCCAACTAAAGTATTCAGTAAAAGTTCAGCAATACCAAGGTCGGTGGTCTGCGTTATGACGGAGGTTCAGCACAGCCATGCTTTCTTTGAGTTAGCTGGCTTAACAAAACCAAAAGCATCAGTCTGACCCCAGACGGCGGTTAGCAACTTTCTTTTCTAACTCAGGCTTGTTATGTTTGCAACACACTCAGGGAAGTAAACTTGAAATGGCAGCTTTATTTGATGAAAAAAAAAAACTCCTCAATAAAAACTTAAACAGAGACAAGCAACTAGAAACAAAAACTAGGGAACTAAACTTGGACAGAGAACTACAAAAATACTCGGAGTATGGAGGAAACACACAGCATTGAGAGGATACGATGCGACAACAGCCAGGTGAAGACTGAGGACTATAATACACAGGCAGGATAACGAGAGGATGGGGAACAGGAGGAAACACAGCTGGGACTAATCAGACATAATGAGACGAGGGGAAGCAAAACTAGAGCAATAATCAAGGAACATAATTATAATAACTGAAACACCAATACCAACCCAACCCGGGCTGGTGGTGGGGAGTCCAGGAAGAAGGGCTCGAACAAAAACAGTCCAAAACAGAAGAGCTCAGGGGGGCGACTCAGAGGTTGACGACACAGGAGTGCAAAACAAAGCAAATCAGGAGGCCAACCTGAAGGCTGACGGCACAATAGTCCATAAAAGGGCAGTTCACGGGGCCAACCCAGAGGTCAACAGCACATAAGTCCAGGCAAGAGCAGGTCCGGATAGGGATGGGTATCGAAGAACCGGTTCCCACTGTTTCAATTCCTTGGAATTGTTTGCCATTTTTGCAAACGATTCCCTTATCGATTCCAGTCGCCCCGAATGACATCACCACTGTCACGGCGGGGTGCGCCGATGTGAATGGAAACAGGACCCAAAAGCAGATGCTGAAAGGCGGAGTTGCTGGCTGAACAGAAGACGATCCTTTATTTGGATGTTGGCACACGAAAAAGCATGAAGCTATGAAAACTAAGAAAACTGTGAACACTCAGAAAACTAAAGGACTAAGAAACTCAGTGAAAATGCGATGACAAACTATGAACACTGAGTAAACTATGACGAAACACTATGGGGATGCAAACAGACGACCCGACAATGACATGCAGAAAACAGAAGGCTAAAATACACACATGAGGTGATCAGGGGAAGTGGAGACACATGAGGAAACAGCTGACTAACATGAACCTAATGACAGGAGCAGTGAAGCTAAATACAAAGAACCAAGAACACACGACTCCTTCCAAATAAAACAGGAAGCATAATGAAACGCAGACATGACAACCAGAACTTGACAACGTAAGACACAGACATGAAACACATGAAGAGCAGGGGAGACTTAACATGGGTTGGAAACGTGAGGGGGAATTAATAAGAACTAAAATCACCTAGACATGGTAACAAATGAACTTAGAAAACCTGAAGGGCTTAACATAAACTATAAACATCAAAATGAACTCAAACTCAAAACACTGGGTCATAAGACCCAGGACCGTGACAACCACGTTGCGGAGCGTCATTTACCTGGCAGGAAACATGGCGGCTCAAACACTCAAAGTTTGGTCATACTTTACGAGAACGGATGACTGACAACAGGGCAACTTGCAATACTTGCAATGTAGATATTTCATTTAGGGGAGGAAACACTACGAATATGCAAAAGCATTTGCTCACAAAACACGCGATGACCTTAAATGAATGTCGTGTTTTTAATTCCGCTCCGGACTCGTGAATCTCAACCCAGCAGCAGCGGTAACGTTTGTACGTCCTCTCCCGTTAATACAGCAGGAAAATAATCAACTAACAGTGCATATTATGTTAGCGCAATCTGCCTTATTACAAAACCTGCCATTACTGTGCATTTAGGTGACCATGATGAGAGAGACAGAGTCTGGCTCAGGTGCTGGCAGTTCTCGCTGCAGTCTACCGGTAGCATCTCCTTTCAGGCCAGGATAGACGAATGTCACCGAGCAGTGACTAAGTTTGTGGTAAAAGGCTTGCACCCATTTGCCACAGCAGATGCCCTCAAATTTTCGGTAAGTGAATGTGTTTAATTGTAGGCAGGGACATTACTGGATATTCTTGTGTAATTGCTACAGAATAATTTATGTTATACTTTGTTATTGCTACTGAAGAATATTTATTTTATTATTTTACATTTACAATTTTTTTCCCCAGGGACCCTGTGACACCCCATTGAAGAGCCATAGGCTGGATCTCTTAAGATCTCACTGTTGGGTTTGTAAGGCCATGTTACTAAATTTCTATCTTGTTCAAAGAGAAGATATAAAACAAAGTTCTAAGCTAATCGACCTTAGTGTTCTCCTTTTTAAAAAGAATCGATAAAGAATCGAATCGTTAAACAGAATTGAAAATGGAATTGGAATTGTGAAAATCTTATCAATACCCATCCCTAGGTCCGGAGGCTGACCACGTGGAAAGCAGCGGCAGTGAGGAAACAGGTCTGGAGGCCAACCACGCGGGAAACAGTGGTGGCACCACAGTTCAGGTGGCTGCCCATGGCGGTGCAGATGCCAACCGATGGTCGTGGTGGTGGTGGTGGACGTGGACAAGCAGGCCATGCTGGACACGGACCAGACAGCGCAGGACCAGACAGCGACACAGCAGCCCCTCAGGACTGAACAGCATGTGCTCTGCTCAGGCAGCAACAGCAAAATGAAGTCCACAGCTGGCTGAATAAGCTCGCAAAAGCTTTTAGCAGAAGATGGAGTTCGCTGGGTTGATTTGCCTGAGCTCTCAGGGGAGATGGGAAGCTTAGATGGCCAGGCTGAGCTCCCAGGCTAACAGGCCATTTCAGCCTCTGGGGAAGCTGTGGGGACTGTCAAGGTAACTTTCTTGACCTCACCGATCCTTTAATATCACAGCTGGAGAAGAAGAGTCAGATGAGGCTGTAGTATCCTTTTATCAAAGCTTTATTACCAGTGCGCATTGGGAGATCCTGCTACATGCAGCCACGGCAAGCACTAAGTGGATCTGAGGAGTACTTTCTCAGTTTGTTCATTATAAAGACGTTCCCTTAAGGGGACTGCCCCTACAGGGAGTGCAGAATTATTAGGCAAGTTGTATTTTTGAGGAATAATTTTATTATTGAACAACAACCATGTTCTCAATGAACCCAAAAAACTCATTAATATCAAAGCTGAATGTTTTTGGAAGTAGTTTTTAGTTTGTAGTTTTAGCTATTTTAGGGGGATATCTATGTGTGCAGGTGACTATTACTGTGCACAATTATTAGGCAACGTAACAAAAAACAAATATATACCCATTTCAATTATTTATTTTTACCAGTGAAACCAATATAACATCTCCACATTCACAAATATACATTTCTGACATTCAAAAACAAAACAAAAACACATCAGCGACCAATATAGCCACCTTTCTTTGCAAGGACACTCAAAAGCCTGCCATCCATGGATTCTGTCAGTGTTTTGATCTGTTCACCATCAACATTGCGTGCAGCAGCAACCACAGCCTCCCAGACACTGTTCAGAGAGGTGTACTGCGCACTCAAAAACGGATCCCAACAAATTAAAGTATGTTTGCTGATAGTAACACCATGTGATTCAGCTAATAACACAGGGATTTCATCATTTGTGAAGCCAGGATGAAAACACTCAGCAATCTGTGCATTCACGACTGGATGTAATACCGGTAGCTTAGCTCTAGCATTTGTAGCTGAGGGCTTCAGCTTCCGGGTAACATGGAAATGACGTCATTCACGTAGATTACTGATTGGCAGCGCTAACTCGAAATTTCGAGTTGCTTTTCTCAAAATTTTGAGTTAATATGTCGAAATTTCGAGAAAATAACTTGAAATTTCAAGAAAATAACTTGAAATTTCAAGAAAATAAATCGAAATTTTAAGTTATGGATCCTTTTTTTTTTTTTTTAGTGGCGGAAACGGGCTTCCATACTTTTCTACTTGTTCCTGTCAGAGAAAATTTAGAGGAATGGGTGATAGAGATCTACAAATATAAAGCAAAAACAAAATCTTTTTGCTTTCAATAATATAAGAGAATAATGCTGCAGAGGTTTGTTTATTTAATCATCACAGTGCATAAAATGGTAGAATAAGCCTAAACATATGAATGTATCTACAGGGTGGGCCATTTATATGGATACACCGTAATAACATGGGAATGGTTGGTGATATTAAAGTCCTGTTTGTGGCACATTAGTATATGTGAGGGGGCAAACTCCCCAAGATGGGTGGTGACCATGGTGGCCATTTAGAAGTCGGCCATCTTGGATACAACTTTTGTTTTTTCAATAGGAAGAGGGCCATGTGACACATCAAACCTATTGGTAACGTCACAAGAAAAACAACGGTGTGCTTGGTTTCAACGTAACTTTATTCTTTCATGAGTTATTTACAAATTTCTCTTGGTTCACAGCCATTGACATGTCGAAGAGGTTAACACGTGAGGAGCGGATCGAAATTGTGTTGATATCTGGTGAATGCAGTAACCGGGTCGTTGCAGCAGATTTCAATGCAAGACACCATATGAGACCACCCAATCTCCCATGCTCCAACTGCTTGCCAAGTTTCGTGAAACTGGTTCAGTGTTGGATTTGCCAAAATGCGGACGCAAGAAAACTGTCACTAATGAAGAAACATCAGTGGCTGTCCTAGCTTCATTCAGCAAGAGCCCACAGCGTAGCACTCGCCGCATGTCACTGGAGAGTGGCATTAGTCGAACATCCCTTCGGCGGATATTAGCTACTCACAAATGGCACCCTTACAAACTCCAGCTACTGCAGCATCTCAACGAGGACGACCCAGATCAGCGCACAGAATTTGCAGAATGGACAAAACAAAAATTGGAACAGGACCCTCAGTTCACGCAGAAGATCTTTTTTTTTCATTGATGAGGCAAACTTTTATGTGAGTGGTGAAGTTAACAAACAAAACCACCGCTATTGGTCTGACACTAACCCACATTGGATGGATCCTTCCAAGACTGTTGGACCAACAAAAGTGATGGTTTGGTGTGGTATATGGGGTACAACGATAGTGGGTCCATTCTTCATCAATAGAAACCCCAAGGCCACTGGATATTTGAAATTGCTACATGATGATGTGTTTCCCTCTTTATGCACTGAAGCTGGCACGTTCCCTGAGTTTTTCCAGCAAGATGGTGCACCACCACATTATGGGTGCCGGGTCCGAGCATTCCTAGATGAACAGTTTCCTGGAAAGTGGATTGTTCGTCGTGGGCCAGTTGAATGGCCCCCAAGGTCTCCCGATCGGACCCCCTTAGACTTTTATCTTTGGGGTCATCTGAAAGCAATTGTTTATGGTGTGAAGATACGAGATGTGCAGCATCTGAAATTATGGATACTGGATGCCTGTGCAGGCATTTCTCCTGCGGTGTTGCTATCAGTGTGTGAAGAGTGGGAGAAGAGGGTTGCATTGACAATCCAACACAATGGGCAGCGCATTGAACACATTTTATAAGTGGTCAGAATCTTGTAAATAACTCATGAAAGCTGATACACATGATATAATGACAGGATGGAGGAAGTAAAACTAGATACAATGAACTAGGAACAAAAGTTTCTTTCAAAATAAAACAGGAAACATGGAGACACAAAGACAACAGAAGCTTGACAGACCTAAATTACAAACAAAAGGTGCCAAATAACCCAAAACCTCTGGTTTAGAGACCCAGTGACACATGCTGGGGTCAACTGGAATAAAGCCAAAGCAATTACCTCTGATCATGGAAAGCATTGGCTGTTCGATGCACCGCAGAGATTACGAGGCACTAAGTGCTAAATTATCAAAACACCGTTGTTTTTCTTGAACTAAATCAGTTTTCAATTAAAAAGCTTTTCTTGTTATTTTACCTAACAAATGCATATGATTTATCTTTAAACTGTCTCTTCACCATGACCTCTAAGTCACATAAATGAGGCTTCCATGTTTAGATGACAGCAAATACCTGGTTCATATCAACTCGCATCTGTCTCATTTCATTTTCCTATTAATCATAGGAATGAAAATGTACTCAAATCAATCCTCTCAAAGGAAATAAAACAAGAAGAATCAAACGTAAAATTATTTTATTTACATATTCCTCATAGTAAACAACTTTGACACAGTCAGAACATTGATTGAATTTTCTTTCTTTAAAACAGAGAAAAACAGTTCCTTTAATTTGAACAAAATTTCAGATAAATGTAAATATAATTTAGATATTTCTCGGTTAAAATCAATTAATTTATTAACTAGACAACAAACAATATGATGTCAATGTAGCACCCACAAAGTGTGACTGGCAAGTGACGTCTGTGCAGAGAAGAAACAGAACAACAATGAGCTATGAGAAACAATGTTGGAGAACAAAGAAACTGAAAAGTAATCCAAACCAACTGTTCTTAAGAAATTTTTTTGTCTATTTCCGTTTTGTGAACTCTGCGGTGTCTCCACCAGAGTACAATATAATACTGTGAAAAAACCAAAGTCCAGCATAGAGCGGCTGAGTGAATGTGGTCTGGACTCTGTGGAGGAAAGTCATGGTTTCAGAGACGCTGTAGAAAGACAGAATACCTGCTCTGTGATCCAGGTACACTCCTACTCTGGAGGACCAAGGACCTGAGAGGACAGTTTGGACATTGTTGTGCCAAAATATGTAACTGTTTTTCTCACAACGTAATGACCAAGACTTGTCATTTCCACCAAGTGCACATTCATTTGACCTCCCTACTCCGCTGATATTTTTGTATGTGACTGCTACTTCAACTCCTCTCCCTCTCCACTCCACCTCCCAATAACAACGTCCAGTCAGACTCTCTCTACTCAGGACCTGACACATTACTGTGAATCTGTCTGGGTGATCAGAATAAGACTGTTGTTTTTTCATTAAAGTTGCTTTTCTGTTTCCCTCAGATAATAACAGATGTGTGTTTGCTGTCTTTGGATCCAGTGTGATTTGACATGAATATTTTAAGAATCCAGCTCTGGTCTTTGGCTCTGGTGGTGACAGTAAAACATCCACTTCAGTGACTGTCAGTGAGATGTTTGTCCATTCCTCTCTCAGAATGTCCTGTAGTTTATGTCTGAGTCTATCTCTGGTCTCTGACACAGCTGCTGTCACATCCTCAAAGTACCTCAGAGGACGAATACTGATGCTGGATGAGTGTGTAGACTCACTGAGTGCTGACAGTGAGGGGTAGTTGTGTAGAAACTGGTTGTGATCCTCTGTGTGTGAGAGCTGCTCCAGCTCGCCGTCTTTCCTCTTCAGCTCAGCGATCTCCTGCTCCAGCTTCTCCTGAAGCTCTTTGACTCGACTCACTTCAGTTTCCTGCTGGGATCTGACCTGCTGCTTCACATCAGAGCTTCTTTTCTGGATGAGACGGATCAGCTCAGTGAACATCTTCTCACTGTCCTCCACTGCTTTATCAGCAGAGCCATTGATGGCCTCCACCTCCTGTTGAAGCAGCTTCACATCTTTCTCTCGCTCCTGGATTCTCTGCTGGATGTTTAGTCGTCTCACCTCGAGCTCCTTCTGCTTCTCAGTCCTTTCTGCTGCAGCTGGGACTGTTTCATGGCCTTTATGTTCATCCATCGTGCAGAGATAACAGATACTCTGCTGATCTGTACGACAGAAAATCTTCATCACCTCATCATGACGAGAGCAGATGTTCTCCTGGAGCTTCTTGGAGGGGGCCACCAGCTTGTGTTTTTCAAAGGCAGGAGACTCCAGATGAAGCTGTATGTGTTTCTCACAGTAGGAGATCAGACACACCAGACAGGACTTGATGGCTTTCAGCTTCCTCCCAGTGCAGACATCACAGGCCACATCTTCAGGTCCAGCATAGCAGTGATCAGCTGGAGCAGCTTGGAGTCCAGTCTTCTTCAGCTGCTCCACTAAAGCTGCTAACATGGTGTTTTTCTCCAGGACAGGCCTCGGTATGAAAGTCTTCCTACACTGAGGGCAGCTGTGGATTCCCTTCCTGTCCTCTTCATCAAAGTGGGTTTTAATACAGTTCATGCAGTAGCTATGTCCACAGGTTGTAGTCACCGGATCCTTCAGTAAATCCAAACAGATTGAACAAGAGAAGGTTTCTCCGTCCAGCTGAACTCCTTTCTCTGCCATTTCTCCTCTCAGTGTCAGTGACTGTGTGAATTTCAGTTCCTTACAACTGAAACCAGTCTGACCTCTGATTTCTGAATGGAGCCTCTCAGCTCTTACACGTCACCACATGTTGGTTACACCCATCTTTAAACTGCAGATCTGAAGGTAAGGGAACGAGGAAACGTGTGAACAGAGAGGAGGTGCTGTGTTTCCAGTGGTGCCTTATCCTTTACGGCACCATTAAGTTACCTTTCAAAGGCTTCAGCAAATCTGGAGAGGAGAGTGGTGCAAGTTAAATAAGAGGAGTGAATGGAGGAGATAATGTTAAAGAATATATATACACATTAACATAACAGAGAGACATATCTCTAACAACTTGAATCAACATGTGAGTGTTTATTTCCTTTGAGAGCACCACAGATAACAAACAAAAAAACAGACACTCTGTAAGCCATCAGAACAAGAGCTGCTCAGTTTTTTAGTGTATATAGAAGTGTTTTTATAAATACTGCTGCAATTAATTAATACTGCCAGAATTGCAGTCAAAGCAAGATGAAAACAATCAGGGTTAGGGCTGTGTGATATGTGTGATATTACTCTTTGTGAGTAATTATTACACAGCGTGCTGCGGGGAAAAGCCTGTTCTAATGTTTGAGTTTAAGGTTTATCTTTTAGCACCCAACAGCTCTTTTTTTGCTTCTTATCCATCAATACTCTGCACACTCTTTCACGTGGTTCAGTTTATTTTGAAAAGTCTCAACAGGATCTTGAGCTTTATTGTGAAAGGTTTATGTGGAAAACAAACAAGCGGACACACGATGGTTTTACCGTCACGATAACGACAACGCATAAAAACAGGCACTTGTCCGTCTGTAGTGTGGTTATATAAAATATAAGAGAAAGAGAGAACTTTAAGAAATTAATATAGCCACTACAGTGACCATCAAAACGATGAAAAAATATTGCTGTAAACAGTTTATTTTGCGACAATAGCGTAAAAGGAAACGATAGACATTTTTATATCGTCATCCGATATATATCGTTATATCGAACAGCCCTAATCAGGGTGAAGTTAATTTTCACTGAAACCGTCATGGTCTGGGTGAGTGGCTGGAAATTTTGACTTAAGTTCCTGAACTTCCCTGGTTTCTGCCAATGGGCAGGGCTGTCACACCCTCTTCTCTTAAGGGCTCTAGAGTGCGATCAAATTTTTCAATGGTGCAACTAAAAAAAATCCTAGGTGGCATCGGTGCGACCAACTTTTCAATAAAATAAAATAAAATTCTCCGCAACTCTGAAAGTCTCCATGTGGTCAACAACTGACACACATTATGCCTATATTATGGTCTAAACCAATCAGAGATAGCTAGGGGCGGGCCCTCTCTGATTGGTCGTGGTCCAGATATTCTTGTAGTTCTATGCATGTATATGTTTGAAAGTGTAGGCAGATAGAGGGAGGTGAGTAGCTTGAATAAAGCGATATCTTTTAAATATAACTGTATTTTCCCAGAAATGCCAGAATCTCAGGTTAAAGCTCACAAAACTATTTCAACAACAACCAAATGTATCCAGATAGAGCAGGTAAACCGATTCCACACAAAGACAAACACAGAGCACAGACCCGACACATCAGAATCAGCTTTCTCAACTTTCTCAACCGACAGCACATACACGGACACGCCGTCAGGGCTGAAAGCCGACAGCTCACTGATTGTGATGCTTTGGCGGGTCCGGGCTTTGTGTTTAGGTCTTTTTTGTGCTAGATTCTGAGCAGCAGGTTTTGTCCCTCTCCATCCGAAATTCACTGAACCAGCAGCAAAAGAAGATCCAAACTACGATTCACATTTGATAAATGTCGTCATTAATTCCCTCTGACTTTTGCTGCTTTGCGTCCAACACAATAAAATCACACTTCATGCACAGCTCTCTCTCTCTTTCTCTCTCTGTACTTCAAGAACAGTTTCCCATCTCAAATCTCTGTTTTCTGCAATATTCATTTGCTAATTACCCACCAGTCTACTGTTGTTTACAGCGCTGTCGGCTGCTGTCTTTTTTTTTTTTTTAAACTTAAATGACCTCGGGCAAGAAAGCCTAATTTCTGCTGTTCAATAATGAAGAAATTGAAACTTTTTAAAATTATGTAAAATTGCAGAATATTTTTAAGGTTATCTGCTATAAAAAGCCAGGCCAGGAAAATCTCCTTCATGTTTTTCTGTGTTTTATTCTCAGTTACTTTGACACAAAGGCATCTGCTGTGATGCTCACACCTCTGATAAAGTCTCATAGTAAGTCTCAGTACTGATAAATCATCAGACTTATAATATTTCTGACTGTCTGAGGCAAAATTGAATCGAATCAAATTGGGACCTTGTGAATTAGAATCGAATGGATTATAGAAATCAGTGATGATACCCAGCCCTAGTGAGAAGCCAAGGCCCGACAGAAGTGGATGTAGCTGTGGGTAATAAGAAAAGATAAAAAGAACTATTGATAACTTTTTTGTCAAGTTAAGGCCTGATCCATCTGAAATTCATAGCCAGTGCTCTGACACGGAGCCATCAGTCTCTGAACGCTGAAAAAACACAGTGTATCCAGAAAACACATTATATGCTGCGATAAATGCACTGCCCAAGTGTCCCCTCTCCCTACTTCCTTTAAGCGGCAGGCAGCAGTAAACAGGTCATCAGAGGAGGCCGAGATGATGATTAAGTTTATTATTCCCTACAATATTGCCAAAAAGTGCCAAAGCAGTTTAAGCACAAGCACTTTTTCAGTAACTTATCTTTCTTGTAGAAATATGCTCCAAATAAAGAACTTTGTGTTGACAAGATTGTTAGTTAATCATTTACAAATCAATATTGTCTGTATGGACAGCAATTTTCCCCCCAGAAAAGTACACATATAAAACTGCGGTTTTAAGCGATGTGGTTGAAAAATTTGGGTGCGCGGCGCACCAGTGCAACCGTGGCAAAAAGTTAGTCTACGGCCCTGCACCTGGAGCTGATTGAGGCAATTAGGCTGGGAGATTTAAGCTCCACACTGACATCCCTTCTCTGCCAGGTATGGACTACTATATGTTGGTAACCAGGTCTTATGGGTCATGTTTCTTACCTTAGGTGCTTTACCTTGCTGTTTTGTGCTTCAGTTGCTCCCTGACGCACCACGGTTCTGAACAATGAATCCTTTTGGATTTTGGATTTACCTCTCTGTTTTATGGGATTCACTCCTTGCCTCACCTGCCGGCCCTCCTGCTGTCCCTCGGCCTCGGAACCAAAGGAACTCAGGTCAGCCAAATCCACATCGTCAAAGTCACCCGCACCTAAGCAGCCTCTCCTTCATTTAATCCATTTCCCTCCATTAAATGTGACCTTATGTACCAGTCCCACTCCAGTAATCTTCTCAGTCCTGCCTCTTTGTTTTGCCTCAGCCACGTTGCCACGCCACATTTACCAAGCCACTGTGTTGTTTGTCATTGCTGATCAATAAAACGCTGTTAGGATTTTCCCTCAGCCTCTGATCTTGGTTTTCTGTGCATAGGTTCAGTTTCAGTTACCGGCCTTCGGCCACCTGTGACAGAAACAAGACATCATGTAAGGTAGATGAAAATTTTATGCATTCAGCGCCATCAAAGGGAAAAGTTGATGCATGCACACACAGTGACAGCTTCTCTCTCATAGAGGAATCATGCAAAGAACATTAAAGCTCGAATGAATTTAAGAAAATGACCAACATTTTAAATTACTTTCTTTTCCTTTACATTTACAGGAATCAATGTCTTAGGTTAAAGTCACCTGTACCCAACTGAGCCTGTCAAACTCGACAGATGAAAGCAGGTTGGAGAACTCGTGTAGGAGATCAGTCGAGGATTCAGGAGGCTGGTAGATATTGACACACCAACCTGGATTTTCACAAATGTAATTTTAGACAATAATAAGTCAAACTGGCTGTAATACAGTTTAAATTACATTTGAAAACAACTGCTATTCCCCCACCACAGCCCGAGGACCTCTGGGCATTCAAGAATTTATAATCAGCAGCCCTATGGTTTCAGCTAAGTCTCCGTAACACAGAAGATTTCTAATTTCTTATAATTATAGGGATTGGAAAACTGTTGTATCAGGAGAATAAGTGATTTGGAACTAGGCATAGCACGACTGTGACAGTGGTCATACATGTCAGTAGGTGAAAGGCTGTTTGATAATAATGGTAGGAAAACAGCTAGACCTGTACTGGAGAGACAATAGGTGGGAATTTCAACATGTCACACTGTGGTAGTCTCACCTGAATCAGTAAAATCATTAGTAAACGTTTAGTAAGAGTTTATTTAAAAAGGAGCTTCAGAAGAGTTTAATTACTATGTTAGTGTAGGCAGCTAGAAATAATAAATGGGCAGCTAATGGGAACACAGGAGGTAGGAGCAGCTGACTAGTTGCTGATTTGAGTCCCTCAGGTTGAGGAACTTAGTGTTCACCCTCTATAATCCCTGTATACCTTATTTCCATCTTGTTAGGCTGCTCATTTAAAACAGTAGAAAAGTCCACAAAAACGCTGTGAATAACAGCTCAACACCATAACGCACGCACAATGGAAAAGTTAATAAAGGCACCCAGTGACGGGTTCTGTATCAACATCCTGCAACCGAACAGACAATATGCAAATCAGGGGAAATCTTCAACTGAAATAACGAAATTAAAACACATCGATAATGATTGACACATAAAAATGATTCTTTAACCAAAGCAGAGAGAGAAACAGAGAATCGGCAATCTAAAAAGCCAGAAGCAGCAACGACAAATGAACAGCAATATGAAAGAAACCACAATCAGTATACTGAGTCATCAGCACGAGTCAGAACAGGTTTGTGCGTGTGTGTATGTATGTGTGTGTGTTTGTGTGGGTGTGTTTCTCTGAGTTTATAGTTGAACATACACACAGCAGACTTCAGAGACAGGCTCTAAGCTGATGACTCGGTTAGATGTTAGAAAATATACTTGTGTTTTCTGAGCTGAATTTTCATCCAT